TTCTAGGACCAATCAGACTGCTGCATTCTGAATCCTATTGTTCTAGGACCAATCAGACTGCTGCATTCTGGATCCTATTGTTCTAGGACCAATCAGACTGCTTCATTTTGGATCCTACTGTTCTAGGACCAATCAGACTGCTGCATTCTGAATCCTGTTGTTCTAGGACCAATCAGACTGCTGCATTCTGAATCCTATTGTTCTAGGACCAATCAGACTGCTGCATTCTGAATCCTATTGTTCTAGGACCAATCAGGCTGCTGCATTCTGGATCCTATTGTTCTAGGACCAATCAGACTGCTGCATTCTGAATCCTATTGTTCTAGGACCAATCAGACTGCTGCATTCTGAATCCTATTGTTCTAGGACCAATCAGACTCCTGCATTCTGGATCCTATTGTTCTAGGACCAACCAGACTGCTGCATTCTAGGTCCTACTGTTCTAGGACCAATCAGACTGCTGCATTCTGAATCCTATTGTTCTAGGACCAATCAGACTGCTGCATTCTGAATCCTATTGTTCTAGGACCAATCAGACTGCTGCATTCTGAATCCTATTGTTCTAGGACCAATCAGGCTGCTGCATTCTGGATCCTATTGTTCTAGGACCAATCAGATTGCTGCATTCTGAATCCTATTGTTCTAGGACCAATCAGACTGCTGCATTCTGAATCCTATTGTTCTAGGACCAATCAGACTGCTGCATTCTGGATCCTATTGTTCTAGGACCAATCAGACTCCTGCATTCTGGATCCTATTGTTCTAGGACCAACCAGACTGCTGCATTCTAGGTCCTACTGTTCTAGGACCAATCAGACTGCTGCATTCTGAATCCTATTGTTCTAGGACCAATCAGACTGCTGCATTCTGGATCCTATTGTTCTAGGACCAATCAGACTGCTGCATTCTGGGTCCTATTCAACTCAGTACATAACACCAGCCATCAGCCCCCAAACCACACGACAGCATTCTAGGTATCTGGGTAGGCTTGTCTAAAGAGAAATACAGCTCCGTTGGAAGAGCATGTGAGTCTTAATCTCAGCGCCATGGGTTTGAGCCCCACATGGGGCAAAAGATTCCTGCATTGCAGAGGGTTGGACTGGATGCCCTTCATGGTCTCTTCCAACTCTACAATTCCATGAAACGTTTTTAGCAAACGCCGAAAAGAGTACAGCAATGGTGTCCGCCTGGTGTCAAAAGGCAGGGAGTTCCGAAGTGTAGGTGCCACAACGCTAAAAGAGTGAGTTCTTGCAAATGCAGAACAGGAATCACCGTATTTTTCGCTCTGTAAGATGCACCAGACCACAAGACGCACCTAGTTTTTGGAGGAGGAAAACAAGAAAAAAAAATATTCTGAATCTCAGAAGCCAGAACAGCAAGAGGGATCGCTGTGCAGTGAAAGCAGCAATCCCTCTCGCTGTTCTGGCTTCTGGGATAGCGGCGCAGCCTGCATTCGCTCCATAAGACGCACACACATTTCCCCTTACTTTTTAGGAGGGAAAAAGTGAGTCTTATAGAGCAAAAAATACATATCTGGTGCCTGTAATATAATGCAAGCAAAGCCAATTTTTTAAAAAAAAAACCATGCTGCCTGGCATTTTCTGCTTCTTTCCTTTGTCCCAGTAGGTCTGCTACGCTGACAACCTGAGCTGCTTTTACCAGGAGCTTCAGGTGGTTCAGCGGGCGCAGGAAGGGAAGACCCAGCGCCTCCTCTCCCGGCTCGCCACCCGCCTGAAGCAGGTGCAGGTGAAGCTACGCCGAAGGAGCCAGAGTCAGAGCCGCTGCCCCACCTGCCAGCTCTGCCACTACCACCCCGAACGGCCTGTGCTGGTTTTCCTGAACAGGCTGCTGGAGCTGCACCAGTGGAACTGCAGGAACGGGGTCAGCCTGGGGGGAAAGTACTGCCCACCCCCCGCTCCGTGAAGAGGAGCCTTGCCAGTCAAAGGAGGAGATGGTCAAGCTGGAAGGTGTGCAGAGGAGGGAGACCAAGATGATGGAGGGACTGGAGACCAAGCCTGGTGAGGAATGGTCGAAGGAGCGGAGTATGTTTAGCCTGGAGAAGAGAGGACAGAGAGGTGAGGTGATATCCCTCTTCGAATACCTGAAGGGCTGCCCCATGGATGGAGGAGCAAGCTTGCTTCTTGCTAGGACCCGCGTCAATGGCAAAAAATGAGATTGTAACGAAACACAGGGAAGAACTTCCTGTATAAACTGTTCAACAGTGGAATGGGCTCCTTCGGGAGGTGATCGAGTCTCCTCCCTTAGAGTTTTCTAAGCTGTGATGGCCTCGGACTCAGAGCCAGAAGAGACTCAGTCTGCACTGGATCCTTTGCCTCAGGCATCACCTGAACCAAGTCTGGGGCCTGATCCTGAAGAGTCCCAGTCTGCACCAGATCCTTTGCCTCAGGCATCACCTGAACCAAGTCTGGGGCCTGATCCTGAAGAGTCCCAGTCTGCACCAGATCCTTTGCCTCAGGCATCACCTGAACCAAGTCTGGGGCCTGATCCTGAAGAGTCCCAGTCTGCACAGGTTCCCCTGCAACAAACACCAGCTGGGCCGAGTCAGAGGCCTGAGCCTGCCCTGGCTCCAGATGCGGGGATACCCTCGTTGCCTCCAGCTGGGCCATCACTTACAGCTGCTCCGCTACCAGTTGGGTCAGGGGAGGCTGAGGCGGCCCCTGGGTCTAGTCACCCACCGACGTCTCCCAAGCTGCAGAGACTGAGGTCTGAGAGAAGGGAGACCTGAGTACTCACAGGAGGAGTGCTCACCTTCGGGCAAAACAGGGAGGTGAGTCGCCGGGGGATCAGGACTGACTGCTACCCCGACAAAGATAAAAGGCTGTCGGACCCCGCCCCAGGTTGCGGGAGCAACATTGCTGTTTGCTAGAAGCTGCCTGAGATCCTGTACCTGTCCTTGCCTGGTTTCCTGCCTTGGCCCTGTTGGACTGACTCCTCACGGAACCCTTGGATTCAGGGCCGGACCTGGACCGCATTACTTGGGTTACCCCCGGGGCCAGCATATAAGCAGCGGTTGGGTGACCATCTGTCAGGGATGCTTCAGCTGAAATTCCAGCATTGTGGGGGGTTGCACTCGATGGTCCTTGAGTCCCTTCCAACACAACGATTTTATTGGAGGACATCTCTTGCATGGTCGGTGCCCTCAGAGACCCTGGGCTACCCTGTTGCATTGGGGCATGAGACACAACTTCTGTTGTGTTGTGGAGAAGGTCCTGTGGATGACCGATACAGGCAGTACCCGTGAGGTGGCAGCTGTCGCTGTCCTGGTGAGTGGACATTCTGGACCGGACACACCAGTAATGGTACAAGTTGCAAATTTCGGATGAAAATGCTCCTGGTGTTTTGTCAGCTGATCTCCGTTGTCTCTCCAAGTTGCAAGAGCCAAAGCAGAGCTGGAAGAATGGTTAGCCTTCCACCTATACAAATGTAAGCAGAAGGACATGCATCTCTTCCTTGCCCCAGCGGATCCCGATCTTCCTGGCAACAGCTAGTAAGTATCCCATCCCTCACTTTATCTGTTGTTAATATAGGAAAATGGGGAGCTCCCTTATACCAGGTCTAGTTGATACCAGGCTACTTGAAAGAGCCAGTGTGGCATAGTGGTTAGAGAGCTGGACTAGGACCTGGGAGACCCAGGTTCAAATCCCCACCCAGCCATGAAGCTCAGTGGGTGGGGACCAGTTGCTGCTTCTCAATCTCACCTATCTCAAAGAGTTGTTCTGGGGATTAAATGAGAGCACTTTCCATGAACTCGTGGAAATCCAACGAAGCTGAATGTTGGAAGAATCAGGACAGATTAAAAAAAAACACTTAGAGAAGCATAAACAGGGTGGGGACCAGTGTTTGTATCCAGGTGAAGTGATGGACATGAGACAGGTGTTGGTAATGCAGGTGAGCTGTGCGGAAGCAAGCTAGAAGAAGAGGAGTTTGGATTTGATATCCCACCTTTCACTCCCCTTCAGGAGTCTCAAAGCGGCTAACATTCTCCTTTCCCTTCCTCTCCCACAACAAACACCCTGTGAGGTGAGTGGGGCTGAGAGACTTCAGAGAAGTGTGACTGGCCCAAGGTCACCCAGCAGCTGCAGGTGGAGGAGCGGGGAAGCGAACCCGGTTCCTCAGATTACGAGACTACCGCTCTTAACCACTACACCACACTGGCTCTAGCAAACATATTCCAAGCAAGCTGCCGGCTAGCTCTGCAGAAGCTCCTTTTATTAGCAGAAATCAACAATTGGAAACAGTAGTGAAACCACCCTGAACTTAACGTGTTTCCATCTAAGCACATTTCCAGTGTTAGCAAATACACGTGTCAGCAGGTGTTTCCCTCAAATGTTCCCCCCGATACTTGATGACGTCTGCGTCCCCCGTCAGGCTCCAGCCAAGCAATATGTCTAGCAAACAAATTGTGAGAGGACAAAAGGTCAGGGGGGAAAGCCTGTTTTCTAGCCAAGAAGGCAAAAGGTCAGGGAAAGCAGGCGTAACGCTCCTTGACATACTATTGCACGCATAGCTGTCAACTTACAGATTTGAAAATAAGGGACCAGCAGCCTCGAAAATAAGGGATCAGCAGCCAAAATAAGGGAGTTTCAGAGCACAGGTATGTTCAACTTCTGAGCCCCTCGAGCCAAAGGCAGAAAGCCCAGCCAGCAGCCAAACGAAGCCTCAAGCGGTGGTTCCCACAGCGCAGCAACCCGGCAAAGGGGATGCAGCAAGGAAAACCACCGTCCCCTCTCCGCTGGGAAGCGCTGAGCAAAGGCGGGTCCCCAGGCAACGCGGCCGATTTGATTGGCACAAGGCATGCAAGCTCCACCCCCCAGTCGTTCTTAGACTCCTTATTGGGTGAGCAACGCAGCCAAGCAACACAGTTGGAGCCTCCCTCCTCCCTGGCCGGCAGGGAGGGAAGGAGAGGAGCTGCTTCCTTTGAAACCCGGGAAATTTAAGGGACATCATCAATAAGGGACAGCAGTGGGAGATGGCGCTGGGATGAGGGAGTTTCCCGCCAAATAAGGGACGGTTGACAGCTATGGTTGCACATCTGGTGCGAGGTTTGCCTTCGCAAAGCCGAGCATCACCTCTACATCCAGGTATGGTGAGATCAATGTCCTTGCTGCCCACTTAGGACTACCCGAGCAAGCATACCCTGACGCAGACCAGTCCCATAACCCAAGCCAGGGTTCCCTGTGAATTACCCATCTCATTGTTATTGTGGTGTCTTCATGAAAACTAGGTGTTCCTTTCCCCGGAGAATCTCGGAGGAGCTCTGACGATGTCAGCCTGAAGGGGCTTCACTTGTTGCAGCTGAGAAGGCAGGAGGGCTTGGCCATCAAACCACGAGAATTGGTGAGTTTTCAAATGCCCACTGACTTGGGCATAGCCCTCGAGGGGGGACGGAAAGGTTTGTCTGTTTCAGCTTCCTCAAATTCTCATTGTTTCTATGTAAAATTCAGTTCTTCGCATTTTCACAGCAATTGGTGATTAAAAAACAAAATTTAAATTGTCTTCAAAGTTATTCGGGATTTTAGTGTGACTTTCCCCCATAAACACATTTTTGTATAGTTTTTGACTAAAGTGCACATTTTTGCAAGCAGTTCCCCCTAATATATTCTTGCATGTTGTTTTTCACAAACATGGTGTGTGTGTGTGTACATGTGTACATCTTGCAAAAGCTCAACATCCAAAAAACCAAAGTGCTGCACCAATGAGCACAAAATAACCCCTCTGCAGCACCACAAATCCAACTCAGTGGTGTAACGTTGGGAAGTGTCAATCACTTCTCCTACCTTTCCACAAGGGCTGACACTGATGCCGAAATCCAGCATCGCCTGAGCTCTGTGAGTGCGGCTTTCTCCCGATTGAAATGCAGAGTGTTTGAGGACCGGGACATTCGCAGGGAACCCAAAATGCTTCTTTACAAAGCTATTGCACTACCAACCTTAAAGTAAAGGCTAAAGGGACCCCTGACCGTTAGGTCTAGTCGTTGACGACTCTGGGGTTGCGGCACTCATCTCGCTTTATTGGCTGAGGGAGCCGGCGTACAGCTTCCGGGTCATGTGGCCAGCATGACTAAGCCACTTCTGGCGAACCAGAGCAGCGCACAGAAACGCCGTTTACCTTCCCGCCGGAGCGGTACCTATTTATCTACTTGCACTTTGACGTGCTCCCAGTATAGGTAAAGGTAAAGGGACCCCTGACCATTAGGTCCAGTCGTGACCGACTCTGGGGTTGTGGCGCTCATCTCGCTTTATTGGCCGAGGGAGTCGGCGTACAGCTTCCAGGTCATGTGGCCAGCATGACTAAGCCGCTTCTGGCAAACCAGAGCAGCGCATGGAAACACCGTTTACCTTCCCGCCGGGGCGGTACCTATTTATCTACTTGCTTTCAATGTGCTTTCAAACTGCTAGGTTGGCAGGAGCTGGGACCGAGCAATGGGAGCTCACCCCGTCGTGGGGATTCGAACTGCCAACCTTCTGATCCACAAGCTCTAGGCTCTGTGGTTTAACCCACAGCAGCACTGTATGCCAAACAAGAAACAAGGCAGAGGACTGCCAGGACAATGGAGACCGCTTGTCCTGAGCGGCCCAATAGCTGTGAGGTGGCAGGAAGGGAGCATGGGCAAAGCGCCTTCTCCAAAAAGCCTGAAAGGAAAAGTTCGGATTCCGAAGCGTCCAGCAGTGTCGAAGGATGCTCTCTCTGAGGCCTCAAAGGCACTCAGGATGAGTCTCTGTCATCTGCCATTTGTCCGCGGCCGACCTGGATGTCCTCTGATTCTTACCAATCTTGTGGCTTTTCAGTCCTTCTTGGCTCAAGCCACAATTTGGCCTCACACATCCTTCTAGCTGATCCTTTGCTACTGACCAATTGCCTTTTTAAAACTAGCCCTTTTGCAGTGGCCGGTCCAGCTTCCCAAACTTAAAAAGGCAGGAATATTAATTCCCGTCAACAAACACTCTGGAGAGAGAGGAAGGAAGAATAACTCACGCTGTAGGCATCCGGCGCCATACAATAAATTTGAAAAATGGTAGGGGGTGTTTTCCCCGAAGTTGTTTGCATGAAAATGAGTGGAGGCAGAAAGATTTTTATTACTTACAGTAATGAAGAACAGATTCACATTAAGCTCCATGACCTGAGGGTGGGGTGGCTTTATTTACATCAGTTAAGCAGCCTTCTGTCAGCGGTGCAAATTAAGGAGCTGGCCACCCAGCTCCCGACACCATTTGAAGACTTGCTGCTTGGGGGGAAAACACAAATGCAAAGGGCAGGTTTCCAGTAACGCAAGAGGCTGCAGGATCAGGCCACGGGCCACCTAGTCCAGCCTCTTGTTGAGAGTCAAGGACCCGCCATCCGCATAGGAGTATAATAAGACACAAAGGCACATTATTTTAGGGTAATGGGCAAAATTAGGCCACAACTTTTATTGGTTACAGCATGTGAGTAGTATTGGCTTATGAAACAGCAATACAGTGGTACCTCAGGATGCAACCCCAGTGCATGTTAATCAGTTAAAGCAGATGCACGCAATAAAATTAGCCAATAAAACATTAAACAGCATTAAAATCTGCAATGGTTTACATAAGACGGACAGGAAGGGGGAAGAGGAGGATGACATGGAGCTATGGGGGCTAAGACTGGGGAACAGAGGCTCAAAGAGATGGCTATTCCCCCCTTCTAGGGTGTGGCTGCCTCCCAGGGGGAAGGAACACAGTGGCAGAATCTAGAGAGAGGGTTGGCTCTCCACTAGGTGTGGAGGAAGAGGCCACAGGCAAATCAGGACGAATGATCTTCATTGTGTTACCACTCTGCAAAGGTAAAGGTAAAGGGACCCCTGACCATTAGGTCCAGTTGTGACCGACTCCGGGGTTGTGGCGCTCATCTCGCTTTATTGGCCGAGGGAGCCGGCGTGCAGCTTCCGGGTCATGTGGCCAGCAGGACTAAGCTGCTTCTGGCAAACCAGAGCAGCACACGGAAACGCTGGTACCTATTTATCTACTTGCACTTGGACGTGCTTTCGAACTGCTAGGTTGGCGGGAGCAGGGACTGAGAAACAGGAGCTCACCCCATCGTGGGGATTCGAACCGCCGACCTTCTGAACGGCAAGCCCTAGGCTCTGTGGTTTAACCCACAGCTTAATACCAGACATAGTCTGCTGCCTGCATAAGTTTTGTGCAAGCAAATAAGGATGAATAAACAGGTCATCTGGGGAAACACTAGGTTTTACAGAATCTGAATTCTGCACCACGTTTGCCATTCTGCACCAGTTCTGAGATAATGGCACAGAGCCGGCAAAACAGGAAACTAAGCAGAGACCTAAAACGCTATGCAACTAAGCAGTTGATGGAATACCAAGCATGCACAGTGGTACCTCGGGTTAAGAACTTAATTCGTTCTGGAGGTCCGTTCTTAACCTGAAACTGTTCTTAACCTGAAGCACCACTTTAGCTAATGGGGTCTCCTGCTGCCAGAGCACGATTTCTGTTCTCATTCTGAAGCAAAGTTCTTAACCCGAGGTACTATTTCTGGGTAAGCGGAGTCTGTAACCTGAAGTGTCCGTAACCCGAGGTACCACTGTACTTCATGATCTTGGATGACCTTACCCCGTTTATGACTTCAAAATTCCACAGAATTGACTGAGATGGGGCATTGCACTTTTTCTCCGTTGCCGAGTAAACAGATCCGCCAGATGTTCCTTGTTAAAAACAGCTGCATCTTGTTCTGCTTCTCTTTTCAGGAGTTCCCCTTCATGTAGATTCCCTCCAGAGCTGAATTCTCCAGAGTGGACAAATCCCATCTGGCAGGTCCTTCCCCTGAGAAAATCTACAGCCGGAATGGGGACGTTCCCCAGAGAGTGCGATTTTTAAGGTTCACAAAACAAGACGTTGCCATCTGCATCTCCTCTTCCCCATCTCTCCCTCATCAGCGAAGCAACACAGCCAGGGCCGTCGTGCTGTTCAGAACTGTATCCCCTGGAGAAATCTCTATTCCTAAGGGCAATTTCTATTTTCCTGCCTCTGTACGGTTTTCTTTGTTTGTTTCTCCAGATGAAATATGACCCACTGGGCCGGGAAAAGATGGTCATCACTGAGACAGCCATTTCTTGGATTCTAGCTATCCATCCCCTCAGCAGATACTGGGAGATTTATGTAGTGTAAGTGATGTATAAACAGAACAACACACATAAAACAAGGACAGTCGGTCCTTGCCCCAAGAGCTCGCAGTCTAAATTTTGACAGCAGGGGAGATAATAATGAAAGACCAGAGAGTATGGAGGGAGGAAAGAGCTGGTGCAAAACACCACCGAGAAAGGCAGAGTGGAGTAGCGGTTAGTGTGTGGGAAGAAGACCAGGGATACAGTACCTGGAACGATATCCCTGCACCTTAAGCAACTCTCTTCTTCTCAACCTGAACTACCTTACAGGGTCCTTATGAGGATAGGATTTGAGCTCCTTTGGCAAAAAAGGCAGCATCAAAACTGTTGTTTCTTCATCTCATCTTACCTGCATGGATCATGATCGTTTTCAAATTGATAAATGTCTTTTCTTCCTTTGTCATGTTCCAATAATAATAATAATAATAATTTTTATTTGTATCCCGCCCTCCCCGGCCAAAACCAAGCTCAGGGCGGCTAACATCAAATATATTACATTAATATAAAATCGAACAATAATTAAATTACCTCCGAAAAACAAGTCAGGATCAAATTAAAATCTAATTAAATGGCTTTCAATACAAAATTGATAAGGATAAATTCTGGAGTGAGAGGCTACTCAAGAGCCCAACTCATCGGGGTGCAAGTCCCCCGTGGGTCCATGAGGTCAGTAAAAGAAGGAAGTTCCAGCCAAGTGATTTGGAGCAAAACAGTGGTCAGTAGACCACAATCCTTATTGTTGAGCAACAGGTTCCCACAGGAGTTTTAAACTGCCCGCCCTGGAGTCCAAGACCACCCCCAGAAACATCATACATACATCACAGAAGGGGTGTGGCCCAAGACCACCCCCTTAATACATCAGAGAAGGGGCGGAAATCTTGATGTCTTGATTCTTCCTGTCTTCCAGGTTACCTAATTGGATTACCTGGGCATCCTGGCCACTCGTTTGTTATGATAACTACTCCATTCCTGAATCCAGGTCCCAGGCTCACACCCTGTTCATATCTTAAATGTGCCCTTAAGACAGGATTTGTGAGAGACAATGGGGAGATTTCCCATTGCCTTCGACCTTGCAGAGAAATATTTGAGGTCATTTTGGGAGAGAGAAAATGGTTTCAGGACTTTTTTGCGACATGTGGTTTATATATTGTATGTGTTTGCTGGTACGTTTATGAACATCATATATATATTCTGGTAAGAATTTTAAGGTCTTAGATGTATAATAAATGTTCATAAATGTACCAACCAAACACATACATAGATCAGCACAGGAAAACTGACCTGAAACCATTTTTGAGTCCCAGACTGACCAAATGTTTTTTCTGCAAGGTCAAAGGAAAATGGAAAAGCCACCCCATTGCCTTTTCCTTCACAAATCCTGTCTTAAGGGCATGTCTGTGTTTGAATAGGGTGTGAGCCTGTGACCTGACTCAGGAACTAAGTATTTATCATTACAAAAGACTGCCCAGGCTCCCCAGGGTATCCAATCAAGTAAGCATTAACAGGTAACCTGCCAGACAGGAGATATAAACAACAGCAGGAGAGAAACAATGCACTCAGATTTCTGCTGTAGACTGCCTTTTCTTGATGTAGGTATGATGTGTCTGGGGGGTGGTCTTGGAGTCCAGGGAGGGAATTTAAAATATCTATATAAGGGCAGGCACACTTTTGTTCAGGCTTAGGGAGCCGGCGTACAGCTTCCGGGTCATGTGGCCAGCATGACTAAGCCGCTTCTGGCAAACCAGAGCAGCACACGGAAACGCCGTTTACCTTCCCGCCGGAGCGGTACCTATTTATCTACTTGTACTTTGAGGTGCTTTTGAACTGCTAGGTTGGCAGGAGCAGAGACCGAGCAACAGGAGCTTACCCTGTCGCGGGGATTCGAACCACCGACCTTCTGATCAGCAAGTGCTAGACTCTGCGGTTTCACCCACAAAGCCACCTAATGAGTTAAATAAAGTGTTTAAAAATACTTTTGTTAAAAAGCCAGAAGCCTTTCTATTGTGTATAGTGGGCAAAGAGATACCAAGGGAAGATAAAAGACTGTTCATGTCTGCAACAACTGCGGCAAGAATTCTTTTGGCCCAAAAATGGAAACAAGAAGAAGCACCAATGAAAGAAGAGAGGCAGGTGAAGATGATGGGCTTTGCAGAACTGGCGAAACTGGCAGGAAAAATCCAAAACCAGCAAGATCAAGTATTCCAAAAACGACTGGTGTAAATTCAGTAAATATCTGAAAGATCATTGTAAGCAATTAACATCACTAGCAGGGTTGTCTGAAGAATTGTAATGAGAAATTTTCTATCTTTATTTACATAAAGTCCTGCGGGACTTGACATCTTTCCGCAGGGCCTGCAAGACAGAGCTGTTCCACCAGACCTTTGGCCAGGGCACAGCCTGACTTCCTCCCTCGGCAATCTTTGCGGAGCTCTGGCCCAATGGTTGCCAGTGGCTTGAATTAATTAATTTTAGAATGAATGATTTTAGAGTGCTGTTTATGCTGTACTTTTGTACTGTTTTATTGTTGTTAGCCGCCCTGAGCCCGGCTTCGGCTGGGGAGGGCGGGATATAAATAAAATTTATTATATTATTATTATTATTTTCGGAATATTCTGCAATGAGTGCAATTCGAATTGGAAAAAGTATAAATTGCAATGATATAAAGGTTAATTTTGAAAGCCATGAGGCGGGAGGGAAGGAAGTCGATAGGCTCTAAGAGCCAAGCCAGTATAGTGGATAAAGATGATGTGAATTGCCAGAGTGGTGCATGCTCTAGTTATCTCCCACTTGGACTACTGCAATGTGCTCTACGTGGGGCTACCTTTGAAGGTGACCCGGAAACTACAATTAATCCAGAATGCGGCAGGTAGACTGGTGACTGGGGGCGGCCGCCGAGACCATATAACACTGGTCCTGAGAGATCTGCATTGGCTCCCAGGATGTTTCCGAGCACAATTCAAAGTGTTGGTGCTGACCTTTAAAGCCCTAAACGGCCTCAAAGGCCCAGGATACCTGAAGGAGCGTCTCCACCTCCATTGTTCTGCCCAGACACTGAGGTCCAGCTCCGAGGGCCTTCTGGCGGTTCCCTCCCTGCGAGACGCCAAGTTACAGGGAACCAGGCAGAGGGTCTTCTTGATGGTGGCACCTGCCCTGTGGAACACCCTCCCTTCAGATGTGAAGGAAATAAGCAGCTATCTTATCTTTAAAAGACACCTGAAGGCAGCCCTGTTCAGGGAAGTTTTTAACATTTAATGCTGTATTATGTTTTTAATATTCGGTTGGAGGCCGCCCAGAGCAGCTGGGGAAACTCAGCCAGGTGGGCGGGGTATAAATAATAAATTATTATTATTATTATTATTATTATTATTATTATTATTATTATTATTATTTATTATTATATTTATTATTATTATTAAAGGACCAAGCCGGTATAATGGATAAAGATGATGTGAATGAATAATATTAAATGGAAAACAGTCAAATGAATGAAACGGATGGTTCCTGCGGCCTGATCCCACCAGGCACGTCATTTACTCACGAGTAAGCCCAATTGATTTTCAGCAGGGCGCCCTCTGGGGCAATGAATGGGCTGAGAGGCCCGCAATCCCGCGCGCAGCTACTGGGGAGTAAGCCCCATTCCACGCCATAGGGCTTACTTCCGAGTAGACCGGCCCGGCCTGCCCCTTTGGGGATCCCCTGATCTCTCCCAACCACCTTTCACCCACATCCCAGCGCTGCCATTGGCCTTCCCCAACTCCGACGTCACACACCCCGCCGGCCAATCCCCTTCCATTTTTGCCTCAGACCAGAGAGGAAGCGGCGCTGCCGCAGCGGCTTCGAAGGCGGACGAGCCGTAATTGGCCGGGGCGCGGACACGTGACGCGGCGCCATTTCCCCCCCCACCCTCCTCCGCGTCGCCGCCGCCGCCAGCCGCGTAACACGTCACTGTTCCCTTCCTCCGCCGGCACGTGATCCGGGCGGCCCAATCCCAATTTCCTCCATGGCGCGTCTTCTCGCGAGATTTCCTCTCTCCACACCCCAACGCACCTTGTACGCGTGCGCGCCCACACGCTCGACGCGGTTTTGTTTTGGTTTTTCCGGTTCTCGTCCGCCGCCCGCGCCGGAGAGGCCCTGAGGCGGCGGCGGCGGCAGGAGCGGCGGGAAGCGGGAGGCCTCCGGAGCAGCGCGGTGAGGGAGGAGAGGAGGAGGAGGGAGGGGACGAGGCCCGCCTGCCGCCTCCCTCAGGGCTTGGCAAGGCCCGGGTCTGGCGGGGGGCGGAGGAGGCCTGGCTTCCCGGGCCCGTCTCCACACACCGGGGCCCCGAAGCGCGTTTGCGGGAGAGGGGAGGGTGTGTGCGTGCGTGTTCTCGGCCTGTTCCGTGGTGGTTTCCCTCATGCGGAATCGCAGAATGGTCGGAGGGGGTGGGAGGGGCACCCCCAGAGGTCATCTAGCCCAACCCCGTGCCGCGCAATGTTGTGGTTCTGCTTGTGGGCTGTTTTTCTTCTTTTAAAAAAGGTTGTGAACCTCCCAGAGATTGTCGGGCGGAGGGCGGCGTACAAATTTTAGTAGTACAGTGGTACCTCGGGTTACATACGCTTCAGGTTACAGACTCCGCTAACCCAGAAATAGTACCTCGGGTTAAGAACTTTGCTTCAGGATGAGAACAGAAATCGTGCTCCGGCGGCGCAGCGGGAAGCCCCATTAGCTAAAGTGGTACCTCAGGTTAAGAACAGTTTCGGGTTAAGAACAGACCTCCGGAACGAATTGAGTTCTTAACCCGAGGTACCACTGTACTAGCAGTAATAATGGGGTCGTACCTGCAAGAGGAAGGGTCCCTTTCTTGTGGCTCTCGGTGGCTTTCTTGGTTTGTTTATTCCGCCGTGGTACCTCGGGTTACATACGCTTCAGGTTACAGACTCCCTCTAACCCAAAAAAAGGGCTTCAGGTTAAGAACTTTGCTTCAGGATGAGAACAGAAATCGGGCTCCGGCGGTGCGGCGGCAGCGGGAAGCCCCATTAGCTAAAGTGGTGCTTCAGGTTAAGAACAGTTTCAGGTTAAGAACAGACCTCCGGAATGAATTGAGTTCTTAACCCGAGGTACCACTGTAGTAGCAGTAATAATAATAATAGTAATGGGGTCGTACCTGGAAAAGGAAGGGTCCCTTTCTTGTGGCTCTCGGTGGATTTTTTTGTTTATTCCACCGTTGTTGTTATATCAGGGTTAGAAACTGAGATAGGAGAGCTAGGAGCTAAATAGCACCTTAAACTGAGGCTGTGGGTGCAACAGCGGCATGTCTAGGCGCTCTTTTTTTGATAACAAGAATTCAAAGCTGAAAATGAATGAACCCTGCTGTTGTTGTTGTTTAGTCGTTTAGTTGCGTCCGCCTCTTTGTGACCCCCTGGACCAGAGCAGGCCAGGCCCTCCTGTCTTCCACTGCCTCCTGCAGTTT